GATTTTATTTATTTATTTGACAGAGAGCACAAGCACGGGCAGAGGGAGAGAGAGAAGCAGACTCCCCACTGAGCAGGGAGCCTGATGCAGGACTCAATCCCAGGACTCTGGGATCATGTCCTGAGCCCAAGGCAGACGCTTAACGACTGAGCCACCCAGGTGCCCCTGTATGTCAGTTTTTCAAATTTTAGCCATTTAATAGGTGGTGTCTTATTGAGGTTGTAATTTGCAGCTTCCTAATGACCAAGGTGCTGAGCGTGTGTTCACGTGCTTACTTGCCGCCCATCTGTTATTTGCTGAAGTATCACGTTCATATCTCTTGCCCTTTTTTTTTTTTAAAGATTGTATTCATTTGACAGAGAACGAGACAGCAAGAGAGGGAACACAAGCAGGGAGAGGGGCAGAGGGAGAAGCAGGCCTCCCACGGAGCAGGGAGCCCAATGTGGGGCTAGATCCCCGGACCCTGGGATCAGGACCTGAGCCGAAGGCAGATGCTTAACGACTGAGCCACCCAGGCGCCCCATCTCTTGCCCTTTTTTGACTGTACTGTTTTCTCATTATTTACTGGTGTGAGTTCCTTACATTTCGGGATACAAGCCCTTTATCAGGAGTGTGTTTTACAAGAATCTTTTCCCTTCTTTTGGCTTGCCTTTTCATTTTCCTAACAGTACCTTTTGATGAGAAGACATTTTAACTTAATGAAGTTCAGTTATCAACTTTTTTCTTTTATGATTTGTAGTTTCTGTGTCCTGAGAAGTCTTGGCCTAACTCGAGGTTTTTCTGCTGTTTGTTTTCTAGAAATTTTATAGTTTAGGTTTTACATTTTAGCTTTATTATCCGTTTTAAGTTTATTTTTGTATGTGTTGTGAAGTAACAATAAAAGTCTGTTGTTTTGGGGCGCCTAGGTGGCTCAGTTGGTTAAGCAACTGCCTTCGGCTCGGGTCATGATCCCAGAGTCCTGGGATCGAGTCCCACACCGGGCTCCCTGCTCAGTGGGGAGTCTGCTTCTCCCTCTGACCCTACCCCCTCTTGTGCTTGCTCTCTCTCAAATGAAGAAATAAAATCTTAAAAAAAAAAAAAAAGTCTGTTGTTTTCTATGCAGACGTGAATGTCTACATATTCTACCACCATTTATTTAAAAGACAATCTTTCCTCTTTTGAATTACCTTGGCACCTTTGTCAAAAATTAGTTGATCTTAGGGGCACCTGGTGGGCTCAGTCGGTGGAGAATACGACTCCTGACCTTGGGGTCGTGAGTTTGAGCCCCACGTTGGGGGTAGAGTTTACTTTTACAATGAATGAATGAGTGAATGGATGGATCATTTTATGGAGAACTGGGGAGAATTGACATCTTAACAATATTGGGTCTTGGTGTATATCCATTTATTTAAGTCTGACTTTCTCAGCTGTGTTTTGTAGCTTACACTGTGCAAATCTTCTATGCATTTTGTTAGATTTATTTCTAGGTATATCATGGTTTTTGATAATATCATAAATGGTACTGTTTTCTTCTGTAATTTCACTTGCCAAATGTTCAGTTGACTTAGTTTGTATGGAACGTGTACTTGTCAGATTTTTTACTTCTACTCACTTTCTTACAGATTATTTAAGACTTTCTATATAGAAGATGATGTCCTCCACAAAGGTAGTTCTTTCTTTCCAGTCTGTATGCCTTCCTAATTCTTTTTCTTGCCTGTTAACACTGAGTAGGACCTCCAGTACAATGTTTAAAAAGAGTGGGAAGAGCAGACATCCTTTCTTCATTACATCTTACAGGGAAGATATTCAGTCTTTAACCATTAAGGATGATGATAGCCGTAGGTTTTCCTTTATCAGGTTGAGGAAGTTCCCATCTTCTCTTAGTTTGCTGAGAGTTTTTGTTATATGTTGAATATTGCCAAATGCTTTTTCAGCATCTGTGGAGATGAGATCATGTGACTTTTCTCTTTTGGCCTGTTGATATGGTGAATTACACTGACTGCTTTTCAGATGTTGAACCAACTTTGCATTTCTGGAATAAGGCCCACTTGGTAATGATCCTTCTTCTATATCCCTGGATTCAATTTGCTAATACCTTGTTAAGGAATTTTATGCCTGTGTTCATGAAGGATATAGATACGTAGTTTTGTTTTCTGGTAATGTCTTGGTCTGGTTTTGGGATCAGTAATTGAAGGCTTCATAAAATGAATTGGGAAGTATAACCTCTTATATTTGCTGAAACAGTTATTATTTCTTATTTAAATGTTGGTAGAAATTTCCAGAGAAGCTATCTAGGCCTGTAATTTTCTTTTTTTCTGTAATTTTTCTTTTTCTTTTTTTTTAACTGAATTCCCTTTCTCTTTGAATATATATTTATATTATATTATATTATATTATATTATATTATATTATATTCAGTTTCGTTCGTTCTTCCTTTTTTTTTTTAAATTTTTTTTTAGGTAGGCTAGCGTAGGGCTTCAGCTCACAACCCCGAGATCAAGAGTCACATGCTCTACGGACTGAGCCAGCCCGGCGCCCCTGTCTCTTCTTGAGTGAGCTTTGTAGTTTGTTCCTTTCAAGGAATTTTTCCATTTCATCAAGCTATCATTTATTTGCATAAATTTCATCATAATATATTATTAATATCTGAGGATCTGTAGTGTGGTCTCCTCTTTCATTCCCACAGGTAATTTTTGTCTTCCCTCTCTTTTTTGATCTGATTGGCTAGAGAAATATCAATTTATTGATATTTTCAAAGACTCAGCTGTTGGTTTCATTGATTTTTTTTTTCTATTGTTTCTATATTTTAAGTTGAATTGATTCTACTTATTGCTTCATTCTTTTTGTTTGTTTTGGGTTTAATTGCTCCCTTTCCCCCCAGTTTCTTTTTTTTTTTAAAGATTTTATTTATTTGAGAGAGAGTGAGCGAATGAGAGAGAGAGAGAGAGAAGGAGCAGGGAGAAGGGCAGAGGCAGAGGGAGAAGCAGCCTCCCTGCTGAGCAGGGAGCCCAACCAGGGACTCGATCCCGGAACTCCAGGATCATGACCTGAGCTGAAGGCAGACGCTTAACTAACTGAGGCACCCAGGCACCCCTCCCCCAATTTCTGAAGGTAGAAACTTAGGTTATTATTTTTTTTTTTTAAGATTTCATCTATCTACTTGTCAGAGAGAGAGAGAGCGGCAGGCAGAGGGAGAAGCAGACTCCCCGCAGAGCAGGGAGCCCGATGCAGGACTCGATCCTAGGACCCTGGGATCATGACCTGAGCTGAAGGCAGACACTTAACCAACTGAGCCACCCAGGTATCCCAAAACTTAGGTTATTAATTAGAGATCTTTCTTTGTCTAATAATTAAAAGCTATAAATTTCTCTTTAAACTCTGTTTTAGCTGCATCCCGTAAGTTTGGTATATTGGGTTTTTTACCTTTCACTTAAAATATTTTCTAATTTTGAGCGCCTGGGTGGCTCAGTCGGTTAAGCATCTGTGTTCGGCTCAGGTCATGATCCCAGGGCCCTGGGATGGAGCCCCACATTGAGCTCCCTGCTGTATCATATGAACCATGTTTAAGTGTCCAGTTTCAGTGGTGTTAAGGACATTCACACTGTTGTGCCCCCACCCCCGCTGTCCGTCTCCAGAACTCTTTCATCTTCCCAAACTCTGTCCCCCTAAACAGTAACTCCTGTCCCTCTCCCCTGCCTCTGATAACCGGAATGGAAGAATGGACGCACAAAATACGGTTTGTCCACACACAGTGGAATAGTCTTCAGCCTTAGAAAGGAAGGGTGGCCTGCTTTCTATTGCCATGACTTGGACCAGTCTTGGTCCCGCATATAAATGGAGTCATACAATATTTGTCTTTTTGTTCCTGGCTTTTCTCAGTTAACATAATGTCTTCAAGATCCATCCGTGTTGTAGCAGGCGTCAGAGTCTCCTTCCCATCGAAGGCTGGAGACTACTACGTTGTGTGTGTGCACACCACATTCTGTGTGTCCATTCTTCCAGTGTTGGATATTTGGGCTGTGCCCACCTCTTGGCTACTGTGAATAGTGCTGCTGTGAACGGGGGTGTGCAGCTCTCTCTTCTTGAGACCCTACTTTCAAATCTTTGGGGCATATACCCATCAGTGGGACTGCTAGATCATGTGGTACTTCTAATTTTTAGTTTTCTATAAATTGCCATACCACTCACTTCCCCCGTGGCTGCAGCAGTGTACATTTCTACCAGGAAAACACAGGGGTTCCGTTTTGGGGCATCTGGGTGGCTCAGATGAGCGTCCGACTCTTGATTTCGGCTCAGGTCATGATCTCGGTGGTGAGATCGAGCCCCGCGTCGGGCTCCATGCATGGAGCCTGCTTAAGATACTCTCTCTCGGGGCGCCTGGCTGGCTCAGTTAAGCGGCTGCCTTCGGCTCAGCTCATGATCTCACGGTCCTGGGATCGAGTCCCACACCGGGATCTGCACTCAGCAGGGAGCCTGCTTCTCCCTCTCCCTCTGCTGCTCCCCCTGCTTGTGCGCTCTCTCGCTCGCCCGCTCTCTCAAATACATAAATAAAATCTTAAAAAAAAAATTCCCTCTCCCTCTGCCCTTCCCCTTCTGCTCTCTTAAAAAAAAAAAGTTCCAGTTTCTCTGTAACACCTGTTATATATATACACGTGTGTGTGTGTAAAACAGCCATTCTAGTGGGTGGGAAGTGGATCTCAGTTAGGGAAGTCCCTAACTGATGAGTGCTATTGAGCATCTTTTACATTTTTCTTTTAAGATTTTATTTATTTATTTGACAGAGACACAGCGAGAGAACACAAGCAGGGGGAGTGGGAGAGGGAGAGGGAGAAGCAGGCTTCCTGCTGAGCAGGGAGCCCGATGCGGGGCTCAATCCCAGGACCCTGGGACCATGACCTGAGCCGAAGGCAGAGCCTTCACCGAGCCACCCCGGCACCCTGAGCATCTTTTAGATTTTATTCTTTATTATTCTTTATAGAAACCTCTATTCAAATGCTTTGCCCATTTTTAAATTGGATTGTTTGTGTTGTTGTTGAGTTGTAGAGGTTCTTTATATATTCTGGATCCCCATGCCTTACCAGATGGATGATTAGCAAATGTTTTCTCCGGTTCTATGGGTTGGACAGGTTAATTTTTGGAAGGCTGTTGCTTTTTTACTAAATAGCACGAGCCCATTTGCTAAACCTTTTAAACAGGTGCAGAGGCTGCAGAGTGGATGACACTGCCTCCACCCACTGGACTTGGGGGTTCTGTGGAGAATAAGCTTCAGGGTCACGGTCTGGTGGGCACAGCTGTGTCCCAGCGAGCGGTTGGTCGTACTTGGAGGTGAGCGTTCAGTGAGCATTTCCTTTGTTGTCTTGAAGAGCTTTATTTGACTACTCTTCCAGGGGCTTTTCTGCTTTTTCTTTTAAAGCTCCTTTCCTCGGCAGGTGTGAGGAGACCGAGGGGTTCAGCCTGTATTGTCCCCACAGTGAACGTGGGGCTCAGAGCTCAGCCTGCTCCACAGGAGGCAGCCAGCAACTGCCTGGAGCCTCCGCTGATTGTGTCTGGGGGCAGATGCCGTCCCCAGAAGCCTCTCCTGCCGAGCCGGCCGGGAGAATGGTACACATCTCTCCGGGAGCACATTCCTTTAGCTCATGCAGATAATTAAATCCCTTAAAGGATTAAAAGTCCTGTGTCAAACACTTGATGTCCCATTTATTAGTATTCTCTGAGTCCTGTTCCTGCCTGAGGGGTTGAATACTTCCATAGTCTTGGGGAAATCTGTATATTACACTATGGAGTACACAGACGGGCAGGCCAGTCCTGGGGGATTGCGTAAGACCACAGTGAGGTCTTTTGTTTCTTCTGGCTCAGAGGTGGTGTAGCGGAGTCCCTGGACTACTTTCTGGCTTCATGTACGAGTTGCTAGTGTCTGAACGGGCTGCCTGTCTCTTTCCTGTTTCTCTGTCTCCCCGAGACACCCTGCCTGCCTGCCCCCCAGGCCGATGGTGCACCTGCCACCAGCTGCGAGGCTGACAAGACGGGAGACTGCTCTGGGCTGGACTTGGGTTTCTTAGCTGGGAAATGGGCAGGTGGGACCAGATGGCTGATCTCGGAGATGTTTGGGACAGCCATTCTTCGTCCTGGGTGCTGGTTCACCCCGTCAGCAGTATCCCAGGTGTGATCTGAAGCCGGCACCCAGACACAGTGGACAGGGGAGGGACGGAGGAAAGAGGCAGGCCACTCTAGATGGGTTGAACAAGCACAGGAAGCAGACCTATGAGGCTTGTCTTGGGGGCTGCGAGTTGGTGGATCCCTGTGCCCGCCGGCCCACCCGCCACATTCTCACTATTCATAGAGCCTCAGCTTGGGTTCAGTCACATACCCCCTCCCTCCTGATGGTCCCAGCACCTCATCACTGTCTCAAGGTCGTCCTGGGGGCAGCTTCTGGGCGAGGTGACCGGAACCCACATTCCAGGGACGGGAGGGGGTGAGGAGCCTCCACGTGCTGGGATCCAGCTGCCGGTCAGCCAGCGGTCACATCCTCATGATGGGCGGTACTTTCCTGCACAGAGCAGTCCCCGTTCCTTCTGGTACCCCTCCTACAAAGCCAGAAACCACCCCAAGTTCTAGAGAGACATTTAAAGGAAGAACAAGTGGCTGGAGGACACTCCAGACTTGTTATAGTCCCTGGAGGGTGGGTAGCCACATGCCCAGCGATGCTCGCTGTGTCCGCCCCCTGCCAGGGTCAGTCACCAGCCGGAGCCTCTGGGGCTGTTCCAGGGCTCACAGACTCAGAGAACTTGGGCTCGAAGCCTCAGCTGAGAAACTGCTGCGTCCAGTTCCACCCTCTTTCAACACCACCACACCTCCCTAAAAGCATACAATTTGCAGCAGAGCCCAAACTAGATTTGGAGCTACCCAGCTGTTTTACCTGGAAACCGGTTTTTAAATTCCCTGGTTTTCACAGTCATTTTGCCGGGCCTCGGTATGTGCGCTCCAGTGGGACTGTACTATTTTACCTGTAAATACAGGCCATGACCTTGTGTCTCTCTGTTATGACTGCCATGCGGGGAGCGGGGGAGATTGCTGGCTTGCAGGAAGAGGGCTTGCAGTAGGAGGAGAAAAAACAAAAGCCTCCAGTCCGGAGCCTGTTTGTGCTGCTGGAGGAAAGCCCCTGTCCCTTGTCGGGTCCTGCGGCCTTGACCCTGGTGCCCCTGCATCAGCCATTCTTGGCCCCCATCCACAAGTGAGTTCACCTGCTACCAGCAAGTGAAAAGGCCCCGAGGTGTACCTTGCACCTCCTCATCTCCGCTGACCTTGCTTCCCATCATCCTGTCCGGTTCCACCCCTGTCCCGGCGTCCTGTCCCCACATCCTGTCCTCGTGTCCGTTTCCCCACCACTTCCCCTTCAGCAGGTAAGCAGACTTGAGGTTCATCCTAAGAGGAAGAAAGTTCGCATCCCTTGAGCCCGGCCCCCGTTCCGCTCTTGCCCCATCTCCTTCCCACTGCACACGGCTGGGGAGGAAGTCCTGGCCTCTTCTGTCTAAACACGAGGCTGGCTTCTGCCCCCACCGAACGAAGGTCACCAACAATCTGCTTAAAGCTAGTGATCTCTTTGTGCCCCAGCTGCTTCACAATATTTGACCCTGTTTATTTAGTTCCTTCTTGAAAATCTTTGCTGGCTTCCAGCGTCCTCCTGATTTCCTGCTGCAGCTCTGGGCACACTCCCACCCCTTCCTGGGCCCCCGGTCCCTCCACCTGTCTCCTAAAGGCCCGTGTGCCTAGGGGTCTGGCTGCAGGGGAGGCTGGTTCCTGGGCTTCCTCTTTTGTAATCCAGGAAACGGGAGCCCCCGCATGGCTTGCTTAGCTGGGACAGCGAGGTTCTGTGTGTAAAACCCCTTTTGCAATCAGTAAGTGGGAAACCGTGTTGGCAATTTCGAGAATCTGGGGGAGGGGGATGCTCCTGGTTTGGTCTTTGGACCCTGTGGTTAGGCTGTTTCCAGGCACCCTCTGGAAACCTGTAAGCCGGATTTGGACACGTGGGTGGGCCTTTTTCTCAGCTTTCACCCTGTTCTCAAAGGGTTCGGACCCAAGAAGTGAGTTTGTGGCCAGTGGAGCTCGGAACTGGGGAGGGGAGCGGGGGGTGAGGTCAGGGGGACGGCAGGGGCACAGCTGGGAGGGCTTTGCAGGCTGGTAAGGGTGTGGATTGCAGCTAGGTGACGCCGGCCGCATGGTGAGAGGGTGCTGGCGCAGAGTACTGTGAGAAGGTTTCTCTGCTCCATCGGGAGTGGAGAGGTGGGGCCGGAGGTGGGGTTGCAGCTGCCGCTCACATGGACGGACTCTGGAGCCGGAGCTGAGGGGACAGCAGCTGCTCTCTGGCAGTCTGCAGAGGTTGGCCAGGCTAGTCACCCCAAGGGACCCCCGCCTGGTGTGGTGGGCTCTGAGCCGTGTTACAGGTCCTCGGGGTCCTCTGCTGGGGACCACGGAGGGAGGCCCTTGACGCCGGGGCAGGCTGGGGGCCACAGGGAAGGGGAGGGAAGTCTCCTGCGGACACTGGGGGTAGAGGGGTGCGTGGTACACGGCGCCACTGGGACACCTGCTGGATTCATCCGTGGAGTCCCACTGGTGTCCGACCCAGTATGTCCCACGCCTCCCCGAATCTGCCCTCCCCAAATGCCTCCGGTCCGTGAGTGGCGGTGTCTTCAGATTCTCACCTCATCTGTCCCCGAGCCCCAGTGATGCCCACCCGGCAGGTGTCACCCATGCCAGCCTCCCCACCAAGCCCCCGCAGGGCCACCTGCGCTCCATGCCTGGCCCCTCCTCTGCGGCGCAGGCAGAGAGCTTGCAAAAGCAGGTCTCCTAGTCCCTCATCCCCGCACGCTGAAAACCCTGTGGATCCGCAGAGGGTTCTAGATAGACACCAGACCGTTAGAGCACAGCTAGTTACTGCACTCACCCACACCGGGCTCCACCTGCCTCCCTCTGGCTGCAGGGACATGGCCCGGAATTCATCAGTTGCCCTTCGGGGCCTTCCAGTGCCTCTGCTCCCCTCCACTGAGGCCCTGGCTTGCAAGGCCGCCCCCAGAGCCCCCAGACATGGGAGCCTTCCTGGCTCTTGCCGGCCTCCCCCCTGGGGCTGGACCCCCCCAGGGCTGCCCTTTTCCTCCGGGGCTCCTGCGGTGCCCTCCTCCACGCCCCCTTCCCAGGAAGGGAGAAGGCTTCGGCCAGTAGAGGAGGGAGCAAATCAAGAAGACTTAGAAGACTTAGGCTCCGGGAGAGTCGGGCCAGCATTGCCTGCACACCAGCCACACCACGGGGTCCTCAGCCTGAGCCCACAGAGCTGCTGGGCCCATGCGTCTGGGGAGGGGGTGGGGCAGGAGAGCGGAGGTGGGGCCTCCAGCCCGGCTCCCAGTGGCGCCCCAGCCCGCCCCTGTCACCTGCTCCTCATCCCCACTCTGAGGCCTAGGGATCCAACCAGGTGGCAGCCTGCTGCTGGGCCAGGTGTCTGCGCTCAAGTGGATCTGCTCAGGAAGTCTCAAGGGCCAGGGCCGGAGCCTGCGAACAAGCTGGACGGAGGGCCTCGGGGCTCACCCACGCCAGGGGACTTCTGGCTCCTGCCTTGGTCGTCCACCTGCCCCACCGGCCCTGGCCGGCCGCACTCCTGCCTGGTGCGAGGGTGGAGGCGTGGGGACACCTGCGGGAGAGGCCAAGCGGTCCCTGCCGGGGGAGGGACGGGTACCCAGGTACGCAGCAGAGCAAGAAGCAGAGAACGAGACCGGTGGACACTGCGAGTGGAAGCTACCGTCTGAAGTTCATTTCCACCTGACAGAGGAATGATGGCCAGGGCCCGGCGTTTCTGTGCCAACTAAGGTGCTGAGTGCCCTAAACACGCCGTGTGCCCTAGGGAGGTAAGTAAGTTACCCAGTGTAGACAGCGCGCACTTGGCAGAGCGGAGATGCAGCTCCGCAGGCGGCCGAGCCACATGGCCTGCAGGCAAAGCCCCGCTCCGCCCCTCATGAGTCTGCACAGACTTGCCCTGTAACTCTGCTTCCCTGTCCGGGCTCACAGAGCACACCTCAGAAGCTGTCTGGGGGTGACGTGGACACACGAAGGTGCTCGGCAGGGGCCCTTGCAGACTGTGTTTCCACACCTGCGCTGCTCGCTCAGCGTCTGTATCAGACGGTGGGTGTGGGTCTGTAGGTGGCTGGAAGGAGGCGGGCTTCGTGGTCACTCCAGCACAGCACCCGTGTCCTGTCCTGACGGACTGCCGCCTTTCTCCTGGAGCCAGACGATGACACGCGCCTGCTTCTATCCAGGTGCCTATTAGGGGGATGAGTGTCACCAGATGCTCAGCCCCGGGCCCAGGGCTCCCGCGCTCCTGGCGGGCTCCTGCGCCTGCTGGTGGGACCGTGGTCACTGATCTTTCCTTCTGTTTCAGGCTCCAGTACCATTCAGCTAAAGCTTGTGAAGGCTTTAAAATTGATGTTTTGTTCATATTTGGCATGAATTTTTATTTTTTATTACTTGACAGAGAGACAGCAAGGGGGAGTGGGAGAGGGAGAAGCAGGCTTCCGGCTGAGCAGGGAGCCCGATGCGGGGCTCGATCCCAGGATCCCGGGATCATGACCTGAGCCGAAGGCAGATGCTTAAACGACTGAGCCACCCAGGTGCCCCGAATTTTTATTATTTTTTTCGAATTTTTATTTTTAAAATACCATTAAAATATCTATCTTGGGGTTGCCTGCCTGACTCCATTACTTCTGCCATTTACTATCAGTTACACAAGTCAGTCCCATTCAATGTGGAAGGGACGACACAGGGACATGAAGACCAGGACACAAGAATCATGGCGCCATCTTGGATGCTGGCTACCACACCAGGTGTCCTGCCCAGAGGCTCAGTGGTTGGGAGAAGCCTCCACAGCCTGGAACGAAAAATCTGGTGCAGTCTTCCCCCAACCCACCCCTTCTTGACCACACCCTCCCTCGGGCCCTGAGTGGTGCCGACCCAGGCCTGGGCTGTGGGGACCCGTGTAGGCCTCACTCACCTGATTTCCGTACCTGACCCAGTCAGCCCTCCCCAGGGTTCCTGAATTTGGGTGGGAGTGAGTCAACACTACCTGAGAGTAACTGATTCCGGCTGGATGGGAGAAATGAGCCATGAGAGACGAGCGAACTCACTCCAGGCCTCCCCTCCCATTGTCTGTGAGCCCCAGGGACATCCTCGCTCTGCCTGGTGCATTGTCAGGTTTTAGAGCTGAATCAATCACCCCGCTTCCTTTCTGTCACTTCCTCACTTCTTCCCGGGTGGCTGGCTGTGGCAGATGATGCTGGGGTGTTGTTACCTAGGGCTCTTGTTGAAAGTGTCAGGGCCCCATCCCAAACCTACTGACTCAGTCTCAGGGGTGGGTCCAGGAATCTGCAATTTTAACCCTGGGATTTGGGTGCGCTTCTGCTCGGTGTCCTAACATAAGGCAGCCACTCTCCACCTTCGTTCCGCTCAGGCTTGCGGTTCACGGCGGCCAGTGCGGATGTGGACTTCAGACATCCAGGAGGTAGAGGACCCACGAAGGTGGAGGGCTCCCAGCTGTGGGGCAGAGTGGAGTTAGGAGCTGTGGGCATTCTTGGCTGGAGGGAGGAGTCGTGGGGAGGTGGCTGGAAGGGGAGAAGCTTCTTCCAACTGTCCGTTCTCAGTGAGTGTTCTCAGCAAGTAATGTCAGCTCAGGGCTGCCTCGTCCCCGGGGAAAAGAGGTTGGCCCAATGATTGCAAAGCTCCCTTCTAGCTCGGGAACTCAAGCCAGGGACCGTGGGAGCTGAGTGATTTCCTTTCCAGAAGACTCGGTCCTGAGGTTGCTCTGGGTTGATCTCTGGGGGGGGCAGGGGGGTGCTGATCCCTGCGCCTTTGGTTTTTTTTTAAAGATTTTATTTATTTGACAGCGAGAGAGGGAACACAAGCAGGGGGAGTGGGAGAGGGAGAAGCAGGCTTCCCGCAGAGCAGGGAGCCTGATGCGGGGCTCGATCCCAGGACCCTGGGACCATGACCCGAGCCAAAGGCAGACACTTAACGACCGAGCCACCCAGGCGCCCCATCCCTGCTCCCTTTGTTTGTCCACTCCTCCCCAGGGGCTGGGTTCCCTCCGGGAAGCAGGTGCCAAGGAGCCTGGGCACTTCTGGGCTTAGCCTTGTTTCCGCAGCAACCAGCCACCGTGCCAGCGGGCTCTGGGTTTCTACTGGTGGACAGCTGGAGGAGCTTGACCTCTGTATCCACACTGCTGGACCAGACAGAATGGAGTACTGGGACACCCAGTAAACTGGGATTTGCAGGTCCCAAACACCCTTTTGCTCAGGCCAGTTGTTCTGGAAGTTTGGGCTCCCAACCAGGAGCAAGTAGCACCCAGGAACTGGTTAGAAGTGCCAGTGATTGGACTCCACACTAGACCCACTGAACTGGGAACTCCAGGGGTAGAGCCAGCCCTCTGTGTTTTCATTAAGTGCCCAGGTGTCTCTGATGGACTCAGAAGTTGGGGAACCACTGCTTCCCCTCAGCAGGACTGGGGCTCTCTCAGTGTCAGCACTGAAAGTCTGCAAACCTCAAGCCCAGGCAAATTGGGATAGTGGTTCATCCCCAGCTTTGGGCTTTGTGTTTCATTATCTGATGCCATGAGGCACCACCAAGCCCAGAATGACCTCAAAAATGTGCCTGTTAACAAATCTGCAATTTGGGTTGCGGCAGGTGGACTTCTCCACGGTGCTCAGGGATCCAGGGGGTGTCCCAAGAGAGAGCATGCCAGGGGCACTGGGGGCACTGGGAGCACGACCACCACGGAACATGGTTTCGATAGTAGTTCCAGACTCCAGATCCCAGGGGAGGCAACGGAGCCCAGCCCCACGCAGGGTGTGCATGTCGCCCGGGGGTGGAGGGTGCTCACCCATGAGATGGTGCAGCCATCTATGGGAGATCTATGGGAGATCACTCGACCGCAGCTTTCTCTTGTCCGTTCTTCCTCCTCCACAGTGCTCTTGGAGCACCTACACTGTGCTAGGAACTTGGTCTGGGGGCTCATGGTTCTCTGCAACTTCATTATTTAACCAAATCAGGCCAGAACCCCAGCCCTGGGAGCCGGGGACAGCTTCTGCCGCTGGGGAGACCGTGGCGCTGCTGTGGGCGGGCGACCTAGCGGCGGGGGCGCTGAACTTGGGGACAGAGGGGTTGAGGATAGTTCCGGAATCCTACAGCTTTCCTGGATAGAGGGGATAAGGGCTACACCCTCCCTCCCCTGGACATGGGCTGCGGGGGCTTCAGCGCACCTCCCTCATGTCACCCAGTTTGATCGGGGAGTGACCAGTAGAGCGGTGCCCAGAACACATATTGGGGTCCGTCCAGTGTCTACTTCCTCTACCCGACGGCAGGTCCCTGGGCAGGGATTATCCTAGAGCCACTCCGCACCTCAGTGCCCAGCAGAGACCCCCCCCCGCCCCCACAGCCGTCTGGCCTGTACGTCCCCTGCAAGGGGGAGCGCCGGCGCCCTCGCTGCAGTCCCCCCGCCCGCGCCCCCCAAGTGCTCCCCGAACTGCTGTGAATCACAAGGCAGCGCCCCCGCCCCTGGGCTGCAGCCTGGCACCGCCTGTGGACCCATCGTGGGCGCCCCGCTCCCTCCGCACAACCTCCCAGGTGTTTACCGAGACTGTCAGGCTTGGGAGAATCCCGGAGGGCTTCTAGGAAGTAGCTCAGGGTCGGGGCCGGAAGCCCTCCCCGGCAGCCACGGGGCCTCATCTTACTGGCTTGGGCGCCATTTAGCGGCCGCGCCTGCGCAGGCCCCGCCCTCCGGCCGGGAGCAGAGGCTGCTGGGAAGATAGCGGGGTAGGGTGTCCCTGGGCTGACCTCTTGTCGCGTGGCCGCCTAGAGAGCACCCACGTCGGCATAAATAACCCAGAAAGCAGCCCGAAAACTGGCAGAACAGACTCTCCGCAGCCCGGCACAGACAAGAGGCCACAGCGAAGCAGGTAGGACCCGGCGGAGAGGCGGCCCGCGCGGCGGGCGGGAGGGAGGCAGCGGACCCGCACATCAGGGGAGCCCAGGGGCAGGAGACCCCCCAGAGCATTCGGCTGGGAAATCCAGAGGGGCCGAATTTCCTGAGTTCTTACAACCAGCGGAACTTAACACCTGGGCTTTTAAAAATTAGCAGCTTGGCTCGCGGAGAGACGAAGCCGAGGCCTTGCCCTAAAAGGACAGCAGAGCAAACAGCCCGTGAGATACTGGGTAGAACCAACAGTTTGAAAAATGCCTGGGGTATATGGGAGAGTTGTTGATTCATCTCAACTTGTGTCCCGGAGGGACAGAGGTCGGTGGGGACTCCTCTAGGGACAAGCGCTTGCAGGCGCTTCCCTCCCCGCCCCCCAGCCTAGGTCCCCAGCAACCTGCCTGCGGGAACCAGCGTGGATACTCTCCACCTAACAACCCCCCCTGCTTCTGTGGAGCCACCTCTCCGGCCTGGCCTGCCTCAGTCCCGGTGCTTCAGGGCCCCTCCCACAGGGAACCATCAGCCCGCAAACCTTGCTAACCTTGATCCTCCACCTAACCTGCTTGCACCACCTAACCCACCCCCACCCACCACCCGCTGTGCTTCTATGAACCCTCCCGCCTGGCCTGCGTCTGTCCTGGTGCTGCAGGCCCCTTCTGCAGGGAACCACCACCAGCTCGCAAAACCTTGCTAACCCTCTCCGCCCCCCGTGTGCTTTGCAGATCCATCCCCTCCGATCGCTCTTGGCAAGATCCCGTCAAAGCAGTGCCACAAGCCTGGCAGTGTGTGCGTGGCCCAGACAAGGGTCAGCACCACTCCAAAGTGAGTCCTGCCCCAGGGAGAGGGGAAGATAAGCACACACCCGTCTGACTGTGATCCCAGCAGTGGGCTGAGGGCAGGCAGCTGGTCTGACTGCAGGCC